TTGGAGCAGAGAACAGTTCGCAGAATCCTTGTAATCAGGTACATTAACGCAATTAATTCTTTTCTTTACATTTGTTTAGCATTCTAGTGAATCAGATAGCAGAAAGAAACCACTTCAGTTAATCAAAGATCTGCTAGACTTCCTGCTAAAAATTTAAGATTGAGTTAGGCATTCTCGTGTTCATCTGACCTTCATCTAGAGACCTAACAGAGATTTAAGCACTAAAGAGATTAGGGCTGAGAACAATTTTTTCCTGTTTCTATTGACAAATACTGAATTTAGAAAGATGCTGCCTAGCTCCAGAGGGTAAGACTAAAACGAAATAGGGCCTATGGAAAAAATGGAACAAAGCATGATAGAAATCTGAAGATGACTCAGACTGAGAACTTCTTTCAATGGTCTGCTGAATTCAGGAGAACTTTGTTGAAGTCTGTTATGCCAAACCCTTTGGGCAGTCCATTTCCCTCTGTGATTATTTCAGCAGGCATAAGCCATTACATGGGTTTTAGTCTCCTATGTAGTAGTTTCTTTAGACAGACATTTTACAGAAAGAGACTGGTGGTGGCTTTTGCATTAGCTCTTTAAAGTCGGTAAATCTCCAGCCTTATTGCTCTCCCCAAAACCCTCTTTTATTGTGGAATTTAAAGCTTCTTTAGCACCTTCAAATAAAGTGAACTTCTATGAGTTCATAACCTTTAGCTCTGGGCCCTGTTGGTTCTTGGGTACCTTGTGAGAAGTTCCCTTCTCAAACATTTCCATAAGGAGTGGTGCACTATACAAGGGTCTTTGATCCACCACTGCAGATGGTGCTTTTCCTCATTCACATTCTTGATCTTGGCTTTTTTCTCCAGTATGGTGCAGAGAGCAGACGCCCCATCAGTCTCTAATTCCTGCCTTTTTCTCCTTCTGATCTGACTTACATCCAGTGGGGGCAAACTTTTGATTCTTCTCACACTTGGTCACTGATCTGATCTGACTGGAGTAGCTTTGGGGGGTGTTAGCAGCTTGGTACCGTAGATGGTTGTATTAGTTTTCTATTGCTGTGATAGCAACTCACCACAGATAGAGATTTACACTTTTTCTGTTCTGTAGGTCTGAAGTTTTAAAATAAAGGTGTTGGTGGGACTGCATGCCTCCTGGAGGCTCTGGGGAGAATCCATTTTCTTGTCTTTTGTTTTAGTTTCCAGAGACTGCCTGCATTTCTTGGCTCATGGCCCCTTCCTCCATCTTCAAAGCCAGCAGTTGTGAACTGAGTTATTCTTCACTCTTACCTTCTCTTCTGCCCCCCTTCCACTTTTAAGACCAGTGAGATTATATGGGCCCATCTGTATAATCCAGAATAATCTCTTTATTTTAAGGCCGGTGATTAGTAATCTTCATTTCATCTGCAGTTTAGTTTTCTGTTGCCATGCAACATGACATATTCACAGGTTCCAGGGATTAGGACATAGACATCTTGAGGGGAGCCATTATTCTACCTATCACGATGGGGCTGCTCCAATTTGCCATTTCCTGTCTGTTGGGTTCTTCTCTGTTTTGGTCCTCCATGTACTTCTCTGACAGGCTCTTCCTTTATGTTTCCTCCAGCCTCTTAGAAATTGTGCTTTTCAATCTCATTCACGTCCTCCTTCCTGTCTTTACTTTCGTTTTTTGCTGAAACATTTTCGAAGACTTTTCTTTCTTCAGAGTCTTTATTCTCTCTGTTTTTATTCTAGTTGAGATTTCGCTTCTCATATTTCTGGCCATGTGAAGCTAGAGTAGCTATTGCTTTTGCTGCTGGTTCAGAATCATCGTCATCTTGATCTTTCTTGCCATTTTCATTGGTAGCTCCTTACTTCTGATTGGGGCAGCTTTCCTGTTTTTGTTCCTTGGTTGGCATGACTCCCTTCTTTCCCGGTGTGGCTGTGCTGTGGCTGGTGTGACCGGTTGCTTGGAAGTGTAGTGACTGCTTTCATTTTGCATGGGGAGACAGCTGCTTTCTTGGAAACATCAATCATTCTTAGCAGGAAAAACCATATCCTCCTTTTCTGGAGCTGTGGAAGACACTTCGCCTTTCTTCTGAAAGATGACATCTCTATTGCTCATCTTCATCATCTCATATTTCATTCTTTTTTACTGACATCTGTTGACTTTGAAAGAAAAGCCATTTCCTTTAGTTCTTGATTTTTATCAGTTGCTATTTTGTGATGCCATTTCATGGTGGCGGGTGAGTGGCTTGGGTGAGCCAAGAAGAGGCTGAGCGGTGTTGATGAAGGCTGCAATGCTGAGGCCACTGTTATAAAACTGGAACATAGATAGTTTCTTTTTCTTTTCTTTTTTTTTTTTTAGAGTTGAATCTCACTCTGTCGCTCAGGTTGGAGTGTAGTAGCATACTCACAGCCACCCCAGTGTCAACCTGCTGGGCTCTGGCAATCCTTCTACCTCAGACTTCCAAGTAGCCAGAACTACAGGTGCGCACTACCACGCCCAGTTAATTTTGTTGTTGTTGTTGTTAATTGTAGAGACGAGGTCTCACCAAGTTGTCCAGGCTGGTCTCGAATCTGCGGGCTCAGACATTCCACTCACCTCAGCCTTCAAAAGTGCTGAGATTACAGGCTGAGCCACCGAACCCAGCCTAAATTGTTTCTTAGTGCTAGGAATTGTTCATAAATAAGGCTAGCAGTATATTTTTTATTTAAACAAATCGCTTATGTCAAGTTTTGAAATTTAAGTATTTTTGAAATTCAGTTTTATGTAGATCACCTAATACCAGCACAGTCTTAGATTTTTCTTGACTTTTCTTGGCAATATCTGCATTTCCGTTTCTGTTATCTTAGGTCAATGTTGTATAGATTACCAGTTGGAATTTCTTTGCCTTTTTTTTTATTTCTATCTCCCCATCCCTACACCCCCTCCCCCATCATCTAGTGCATTCTTTACCCAACTGCCCGATTGGTATTAAATTCTGCTCGGAAACCTTTTTACCCTTAAAATGAAAATCATGTTTAGTATTGAAAAGCAATAGAAAAATGCTTCATTTTAGACGTGACTTTCAAACTTTTGGACCATGATTTGTAAGAAATAAGAAATACATTTTACGTTGTGTCCCAGTATACACATATGTACTTGGATACAACTGAAACAAAAGTTTCACAGAATAGAACCCCTTTTAAGTAGGTGCAATTTCACTCTACTAACCTCCATTTTAAAAAATGTTGAGTTTTATCTCATTGGTTTTGTAACTCATTAGTAGGTTATCTGGAATTTAAATATACTTGTGTTGGATTAGAATAGCAGAGAGGGATGTCCTTTGGAGAAGGGATACTTGAGGAAGTGAAGAAGGGCATTTTATGGTGGTGCTCAGTGCCCTAGGCAGGTTTATCTTTACTTCTTTACTCTGTCCAAGCTGCATACCTGGTCATTTCAGTATGTTTACATGCATAGTCCACCTCCACAAAGATGTTGGGCCTGTGTGAGGGCTTTGCATTGGCTCACAAATTTACAAGATAAAATTACTTCATCCTCTTAAAAATCTCCAAGTGGCAAGTCAGTACCAAAGGGAAGTCTCTAAAGATGGCTCCAGAATAGCCCCCATACCTTTGCTCCCTTTACTCTGTATGTTCTATCTGTACAAGACCCAGCTTTTTCTCATATTCTCAAAATCTCGCTCAGCCACTCAGCCCTTATTCAACATTCGTGTAGTACTTGTCCTTATAATGCCTTGTACTTATAATATGCTACTTTCTATCATTTTTTTCATAGACGCCTTTCCAACCAATGAACCTATTAAATCAGCATTTTAAAATGTTTAATTATGGATTCACCAAAATACAATTTGAAAAATAATTCAGTGGATATACTGATGGCTATCCTCCGTCTCTTTGACAGGCTTTGTGTTTTTACAGTAATAATGTATTTACTTTTCATGGAAATTTGTTCTAATTTAATATTAGGAAGTATAATTTCTGACCCATTGGTTCATTTTATGATTAGTTTATGTTATAACCATATCATGTGTAGAGATTCTAATTTGCAGTATTTGGGGGCTATGCCAGACTATTCTGTGTTTAAGCTTACTGATATTTATTTTATCTTTTCAAGGGCTACAAAACTTTATAGAGGAAGCTTGATTGCACTCTGCATTTCCAATGTATTTTTCATGCTTCCATGGCAGTTTGCTCAGTTTGTACTTCTTACTCAGGTGAGGTGATTGTACTTGTAAACTGATTTAAGCTCAGCATGTTTGATTATGTGAACTCATTTGCATAAAATTATAACTGTGATGTAATATGAGTTTAAGTTCTAAAATATTTTCTAGAAAAAAATGTTTTTAGAAAGTTCAGAAAGAAATATGTAAGATTTATTACTGATTGTTATTATTAATAGAATGAATGTATTTAACTCAGATTTTTAAGGATGGTTGTCTTTGTTATTTAGTATTTGTTGGTGTGCTTAAAGGAGGACTAGTGCTATAACCTTAAGTATTTCTCATAAGTCAAATGTGTTTTATTTATGAAAAGTTCTATACATTTTTACATGTAGGATAAATACACATAGAATTACAGGAGAAGCAGTTGCCAATTCTTTTGTATAATTCTCCCATCAGTCTGCAGTTTATCTATCACCTTTCCATGTACTTTTGCTCATTTCACATGGGGATACATAAAGCAAAGTAGCTTGTTGAAAGAGAGAGCAATTGTGTGTTTATTTTTTTCCCTATCTGCTAATTTGCTTTTTATTCTGGCAATATTTGTAAAAAAGCAGTCTATAGAAGTGTTGCTTTTTAATATTCTTTAGAATGTTTTGCTTGGGAAATGAAGTTAGACTTGGATTTGATCCTAACTCTATTCACTAGCTTCTTGACTTGAATAAAATACTTAACTTTTTTTAGTTTCAGTTTTCTTATTTTTGAAATAGAGAAAATAAAATAACTTACTATACTGAGTTATGGTTAGGATCAGATGAGGTAATATGTGTAAGAAATTTTAACACAGTACCTGGTACTTAGTGAGGTATCAGTAAGGTTAGCTGCTTTTATCATCATTTTAAAAAAAGGCTTTATTTGTACTTCTTACTTTGATCTTATCTTTTAGGCTCCCTTGTCTAATGTAGTTGGATGACATTTAAATCAGTTTGTGGTTTAAATTGTCCTTGATATTATCTCTTTAAGATTCTATACTGTAAGTGTGCTGTGTTGCTTATTCCCAGGGGTGCAAAGGGCATTTTTTCATTGCTTCCAGTTAGTGGAGATGGT